GAGAGATAATCTTAAACTCCACATGTCATACACTCACATCTTAATGATATTAACGTTCGTAAAAAAATCAGATAGTTGTAGATTTGTCTACTTTAGTAACCGAAATTTCAGATAGTTAGTAATGAAAAATTAACCCGTTAATAACATGTCTTTTGGAATATTGTATGAATGACATATGATTGTGCACCGAGGCCTAAGAATGAACTAGGGAGAACTTATGTGGGTAGGTACATGTATGTGCATTATAATGTTGTGGATGTACAAGAATTGCTAGTAAAGTTGACTACAATGTCCACCAAGTCGTTTGTATTTGCATAGGTGAATTGATTAACCCACTAAACGCTAACCGGTTCAACTCTCCTTGCCTATATATATATACCTTTGATTAATGGCATATCTTACTTGCAAGAAATATACACCACCTTCACACCTATCCCCATCAATCTCCTCATTTTGCCTTCTATTTATATATACATAAATATGATTATTGGCATGACTGGTTTCAAGACCATAAACATGAAATTTTTTGCACTTCTAATACTACTACTAACATTATTCCTGTTCACTTCAAGTGAAGGAAGAGCAGTAAGCTTGAAGAGCAACAAAGGTGCAACAAGTACAGTGACAACCATTTCTACAAACAATCATGACCATGGACAAGATTCTGGTTTTGTAGTCATAAACGAGGGAGATTTCCGTCCTACAACTCCAGGACATAGCCCCGGAGCTGGCCACTCAGTTGGCCCTACCGCAACCTTTGATCCTCAGCCTTGAAAAATACATGTCTTAATGTTCCTTCTATTATTGTTGTTGCTTCATTTCATATATTGTTTGCATGCATGCAAATCTTTGTTTGTAGGTGGTTATGGTTAATTAGGCGATAAAAGGGACAAGAGGTACCAAGGACAAGCCACAAAATGACATTCTAAGGATCAAGTGGGGTGCATATAGCTCTGTCTTCTCGATTGTTCTTTTTACTTTGTTTTTATCCAATTATTGATATTAGAATGTCTAATTAACTAAAATAGGTGACTTGTATATCCCTTTATATTGTTTGTATTATAGTCTCATGTTGCTACTTTATTTGTACTTTAGCATTATAGGATTATAAAGAAAAGTAATTGTGGTTTCAGTTTTACACTATTTCGTCCAAGAAATTCTATATTTCCTTATGTATATGATCATGCATGTGTTTAACTAGCAAATATTAAGATTATGTGGAGTGCGACAGGAAAGGAGATTAGCAATTTTATGGAACAACTTGAAATTGATGATAGCCGCGATTCATAGGCTGGTTTGACATGTAAGATTATATTTAACAGAATCCAAACCAACTCAACATCTCTTTTAAAAAAAATTAATTTATGTTTCTTTTACATTCACAAATGACAACCCAACTTAATTAAAATTTTCTCTGTTACTAGCAACCAATCCAACGAACCTATTATTAGAAAAAATAAAGTAATCAAAATATTAAAATATTGCTTTTTTTACTTATAAGGCACATCAATAATATTTTTTATTAATAGTAAATTATAATTAATAACTATATAAAATTGATTAGAAATAAGAAAAAACATGGTACGAATCAAAGGAGCCATGTGGAACACAACCTAAAGCAAGGTGCGTTCTCCAAAACGAAATGGTCCCATTGTACTTGCAAGACTTTTTTCTAACCTTGGAATATTAGTGATGTCAAACGAAATGGTCCATTAAGACTTTTTCTAATCTTGGAACTACGGACGTGAAGAGGGTCAAAATAAACTATTTTATTTTTAAACAACAAACTATACTACTCCTAACTTAATTCTAACCCTAACCGGAAGTTATAAAGGGTATGTCCATGTGTGACATGATGAAATAGATAGAACCTATGCAGTCGAAGTTTATTCGTTCCTTCTACCTTAATAGGAGAAGTGATATTTATGGGCCCCTCGATGATTTAGTGCAGACATCTAAAGTGTTTGGTCGAGTCCTGACTGGAATTAATGTGTTCAATTTAATAGTGAGATGCAGTCGTCACAAATCTATATCGGGAAACATAATCTTGAATTCTTGAGATTGACCATTATCCATGTCTCGAATTCATACATATATCATAGAACGAAGGGATAGTTGATCATTTATCTAAGGGCTAAATCTTGATTAGATCAAGAGTTCGGTAGTTGCATTGGATGACTAATTCTCTTTTAATTATTGGACAAATATTAATCCTCGTATAGTTGATAACTTGTCCAAGTGGGAGATTGTTGGAATAGTATCCAAGGTCATTAATTATTGGTAATATTTCTTATAATAGTAGGGTCTTTTTGGGTTTTCCTCAAAACGCAAATTAAGTAGAATAAATAAAGGAGAAATTAGTTTATTAATTATTATGGTTAATAATTAATTAGAAACTAATTGGAAATATATTTTGGAAATATATTTTAGGAATTAATTAACAGTTTAATTAATTAAAGGGATGATTGTTCATTTATCGATAGTTAGTTAATCAGGAATGTTCCAGAACCCTTATGGAATTAGGGTTGGATGAAATCACTCCTTCCACATGGGAAATGAGTGAAATTTCGTGGTTAGGCCTCCATCCACATGGGAAGGAGTACTAAACCCTAGGAGGCATCCAATGCTATAAATAGGGCCTTAGGGATTTCATTCCTCCTTGCACATTGACTTGAAGTATTCACCAACCCTTCTTCCTCCCCCTCTTAGGGATGATTTCTAACCACTTTGGGTTTGTGAAATTGACCATTCTCCTAATTATTTTAATTCTACTCTTTGCTATCATTGGGTGTGATACCATTAGAGGGATTCTGGTTTGGATCCTTTCATCCAAGCAACTTCATGGATGTTCAAGATCTCAAGCATGGAGATCAAGGGCCACATAAGAGGTATGTTTTCTTACCTATGTTTTAGTTTTATATGGTTGATGTAATTAGCATGAAGCCATAGCTCCATAGGATGCATGTACACTTAAGTATATCGTTGTTTTGATTTTTCCGCTGCCTAATTTTTGAGTGTATTTGATGCGTAGAAAATCCAACAAGAATGTCCTTGTGGGCCGTTTTTGGGCTTTGGATCATTTTGGGTTTGGGTCATGATTTGTTGGGCCAAGTATGGGAAGGGTAAAATAATCTTTTACTCCTTAGCATTATAGAAAATGATTGGACCCTAGATTATGGGTTGTTACCACTTACCCTAATTATTGATTAGGATTGATCTTGGATTTGTGTGAGAAGTTATGGTAGCAGCAACTCGAGTGTGATTTTTTGGCATCAAATAAAGGTGAGTCTCCTCATAGTATTCATGGGTCAAAGGCACCAATGCCGGCCCATTGATTATGATTAAGGGATGCTAGCTATCTGTGTGAGTCTTGCATGTATTGTATGTGTTTGTATGTATACCAGGTGGGGCCGGATGAATGTGTTAGGTGGGACCCATCGCGTGTTACTGAAAAATTTGTACTGAGTGGGGCCGGATGAATGTGTTAGGCGGGACCCATCGCATGTTACCGACATATTTGTTACTTAGAATTTGCGGACATTGCACTCAACAACTCAGATTTCTGAAGACAATGATGGATCCAAGCTTGCTCTTTTCTCCCTTATTTCCTTGTAACTTCCTTCTTTCTCAAATTCCACCAAAATCCAATAAATAAGCTTTAACTGAAAGGAACAAGCTCTTAATTCTTCATGTAGGCTAGGGTTTTGCTTGGAGGGTTGGAGTCCAAAGAAGATGCCCTGAACTTTGAATTTATTAGCTTAAATATGGAAGAAACCTTAAAAGATCATGAGCTTTGGAAAATTAATATTGATGGCCTTAACGGAAATTAAATTCTAAAAAATCATACTTTCGCCATCCTTATTTTATGGTTATTATGAGTACTCGGTATACTCCACCTTTGACATTCCTAAGAATACAAACAACACCAATACGAACATAATACTTGGTTATAGATCTTCTGCTTTGGATTATTTTAAGAAAGTACTTTTATTAACAGACATAAAATCAAATAATTTCAAGAAAATGACTACAAGATTCTCAATTTATCCAAATATTTAATTATTACTACACCCTATTCTCACACTTTTTTTCTAACACTTTGGAGATACTATGTCCATAATTTTGAGCATACAATATATGTAAAATCTAGAGGTGGCAAAAATTAACCCAACACGAAATAAATGGGTTTGTGTAAGATATTTCAACCTGTTTAAATAAACGGGTTGACACGACACGACACGAAAGTTAAATGGGTAAGGTTAGGGTTGAGAATTTCAACTCGAATATGACTCGGAAATGACCCGTTTATTTATATACATGTTTTTTGAATTATTTAAATAATCTAGAAAGATACAAAACCAAAACCATAAGAAAAATAAAACCTTTGAATTGAATTGTTTTGTAATGTTGAAATGATTTAGCCGTCTAGATCAAGACCTCATTTCAGTTTTTCCATTCTCTCCCAAACTACCCAGTCTCTTTCACCACTCTCACATCCTCATGACCTTATCATCCGCCTCCCCAACTCTCACTCTTTTAATTTTGTCATCTGAACTTACTATGACTTCATCTATTCTGCTTCCAAACTATTAGTTTTTCATTTCCGCCTACCCAACTCCTACTTTTGTCAATATGCTCAATCTTTTAACCTCACATGACACGACATATTTTAAGGTATAGCCCTAACCCGAAACCCGATACGAACTTGACACGAAAATAAACGGGTTGACATGACACGACACGTTAATTAAATGGGTCGGGTTAGGGTCGAGCACTTTCAACCCATTTAGTGTTTCGACTCCACACGACACGATTGCCACTTCTAGTAAAATCTATAGTTTAGCCTAATATTAATATATCTGAACCAAGATATAAAAAGAGGTGATACTTGCATTATAAAAAGAGAAGCAGCCACGTTGTTCCATTATAAAATCTTTTATATGCATCCACGTTCTTCGTTTTAATAAACCAGAGCTCAATCAGAAAGCAAGAAGGACCCCATGGACAATAATCGAGGTAAGCACTCTGTCGGTAAAGATCGAATTTCTCAGTGATAAGAACTACGTCTTTCAGCTTTTGTTCCCGCGTGTAATTTGTCGATTTGATTCCAGAGTACGTAGTTGAAGTTAATATCACCAGACACAATGAAACCGACAACGATAGAAGAAAAGCTCAGGTCTCATTCACCTTTTTTCTCACATTAATCTCAGTTAATGTTGTTCTTTTTTCTCTTTGCTCATAGATTGATTTTGTTTCTTCGAACCTTCGTATTTCATCCCATGTTGCAGCATTCATTTGTGTTAAATTGCTGTAAGCATCTGTAAATGTTAAGATGAATATCAGTTTAAAGGCTAATCCACAATCCAAGACAACTTTACTCAAAGATTCTAACGTAATTGAACTCTTTGCTTTCCCAAAACGGTATCAACTGGAAATATCCAAAGGCTTTAATTGAACCAAACATCCCACATGGGGTTTTGATCAATTTGCATGAATTTTAATCTGGGTTTTTGATTCTGGTACCCAGTTCGATTATTAGATTTCAGAATTCATTTTTACGAACTAGTTGTGAGACGAAGCTAATCATCTTAAATCTAATGCACATGAGGTGCTTATGAAAATCTTGATGTCATTAACTTTGATGCATTTTGGAAAAGGTTGATATGCAAATAGAGACTCCGAAGAGTAGAAAAAGTGGTGAAGGTTCTGGTAAAGGGACAAAAATGGCATTGCAACAAGAAGTAAGTACATTGCTGTCACCTTTGACTTTTTATTTATGTTTGTTGGTATTAGTTGAGGTGTCTTGACGTTCTCTCAATTAGTGCAATTATATTTGATTATATATAATATATCAATTCCTTTTTCAGGTAGAAAAGCTTAAAAAGAGGCTTAAACATGAACAAAATGTTCACAGTGCTTTAGAACGGGCTCTAAGCCGCCCGTTAGGGGCTCTTTCTCGCCTTCCTCCTTATCTCCCTCCACTGGTAGGACACCTTTTTCCCCTTCGATGTTCATAGTAGTCCAATCTTCATTTTAATTATTATTTTGGGTAATTTTTTATTAGAAAAAATCGTAAAAGATGTGGTTGAATGACTTTGATACTGGTTTTGTGATAGTGGATTGTTTTAGTTATGAACAAAATACAAATGAAATGAAAGTATGATGTTGATTACTCTAATCTACACTATCTTCTAACAGAGGTTGAGATCCCAATAAATAAGGACCAATTGGTAATTAAGCATAAGTATTCTGTTATAAATTTAGTGACGAATCTAGAACCTAAAACGGGTTCACTATTTAAATGAAACCAATAAAAAAAAATTAAAGATAGACTTTATAAATCTTTTATATAAATATATATATATATATATATATATATATATATATAATATTTTATAAACAAAATAATAATAATAATAATAAATAAATAAGTGGGTCAAATGACCCATGCATATACCCTCACCAATGCCTATAACCCTAATATTACCTACACATAATTAGAGTAAGAGACTTTCTTTTTGTCCATAGCTAGATAATGTGTAATGATCTCTGGATTAGGTGTTGTATACAAGATCTATTTCTTTTCTAGAATAAATAATTCAAGAATCTAAATGACACCAAATGACTATTCTTTCCTTACATTCTAAATAAAAAAATTCACAATATTCATCGATTTTAATTTGATAAGAGTGTTGATGAAAAGAGAAGAAAGACACATAGATAAAAGGTTAGTGTGTTAACACATTAAGCCAAATTTTTTGGCTTAACCTATTTAGTCATTCTATCCAGATTAAGTAAAAAAACGACCGTGCATAATTGTCTTCATTAAGTGGTTAGCCCATTTTATAAGCCCGTCAAATAAAAAGGAACAACCCTTAACATGTACACGAACATCAAGTCCATATTACATTTAGAATTCTAACATTCACAAATTATTTAGGACTCATGCAAATCTGATTGCACTATTATTTAATGCTTCTAACAATGCATGGATGTTTGCAGACATTGGAGCTCCTAGCTGAAGTGGCTGTTTTGGAAGAAGAAGTTGTTAGGCTAGAAAACCAGATGGTTCAATTTAGACAAGATCTATATGAAGAAGCTATCTACGTTTCTTTCTTTAAGAGGAATCTTGAAAACTTAGCTGATTTTCAAGAAAATTGCCATGCAAAAGATCGTAAAATTGAAACCAATGTATCAACACCCATTACTCAGAAATCCCCAAATCCAAAAACCAAAAGGGTCAAAGCTTTATTAAAGCGATCTCTACACAAACATATTTCAGCAGAAAAATGTCCAAGTCCACAAAAACAACGCGTAAGTGTTAATTTATCGTATTGATAGTGAATTTGCTTTCAATTTAAGGTTTTTATATGGACTTTTTTTTGTAGTTTGAAGGTAACGGGATAGAGGGTGGAGATGTGGGAAAAAGTAGTTTTTATATTCAAGAAAAGGGAATATTGGGAGATGATAGTCCAAATAAGATTTCAGAAAGTTTCCTGAAATGTTTAATGTTTGTTTTTGCACGAATGGGCTCAACTTCGCCCTTGAGAATGGCAGAAATGCTACCTTCATTAGAACCATGTGAGAATCCATGGGCAATGGATTTTAAAGATCCGTATGGTATCTTTTATGAATTTGAGAACACAGATATAGGTCCATATAAGTATTTATACGAAGTTGAAGCAACTACTATTAACAAAAACCATACTACAATCTCTACGTTCCTAGCTCAAAGACTAAAGTAAATATTTGATAGTTATTCTTTTTTATTTTCATTGTATAAAATATAAATCAATATTTGATGTTATTTATTGATTTTTTAGGGTCCTACTAGAGAAACTTGAGTTGGTTAACTTAACAAGCCTTACACATCAAGAGAAGCTTGCTTTCTGGATCAATACATATAATTCGTGCATGATGAATGTATTGAAATTTTCTTAATTTTCTTTATTTCATTCATTTGTAATCTATAAGTTAATTAAATCAATCTCATTATCTTTGTTGCATTAAACTATCAGGCGTTTCTTGACCATGGAATACCAGAGACACCCGAGAGGATTGTTGAATTAATGCAGAAGGTAATAACAAATCTAAAATACAACATTATAACTTTGTAGATTTTTCACATTAAAATATTTCTTGATAGAAGGAAATTGAATATAATAAAAAAAATGCTTCTATAGAAAAATGAAAGTTCAATGTTGTAACTCGAAAGAAAGAAAAATGGACGCTATAATATACAAATGCATGGAAATATGTTTCTATTGCATTAATAATTTTCACACTGCAATTCATTAATAAGGATAACGCAAAAGATACAATTTTATAACGGAAGTATGTTGCTATATCTTTCGTTTTTCCCCATAATGAATGAGAGTTTTATTCTCATGATCAGGCAACAATAAATGTTGGAGGCCATCTTTTAAATGCATTTAGCATCGAGCATTTCATACTGCGATTACCGTATCATGCAAATCATGTAAGTCAACTGTTGCATCTTTCATGTTTTCATGTTCATGGCATAAAAAAAGCTATTGTATTTGAGATTAATTACATGTTTAATTTGTTCAGAGTTTTGAAAAAGGTTTCAAGATTAATGAAGAAACTGCAAGAAGCATATTTGGTTTGGAGTTGTCTGAACCACTAGTGACATTTGCATTGTCTTGTGGTAGTTGGTCATCACCTGCTGTAAGTTATCAATGTTTCATCAATATTCACTTTATTTAACAAAACCTATTATCATAAATCGTGACCTTTTTCAATAGCTTTTGTTTCAAAGTTAACTAGTTTTTTTTTTCTTTTTTTTGCTATATAAAATGTTTTATAAAGTGTCCTTATATTAGTTAAATTGTTATCTTCTAAGTACATGTTAGTCATATATTTAAAAAAAAAAAAAAGATATTACTTGACAACAACATTTAAATAATTAAATATGTTAAATATTGGAAAGCTAAACTTTTGTTATACTAAATCCAGATTTCAAGTTTTTCACTTTATCTCGTCGCACAACTTGCGATGATATGTAATATTATGGAACTGTTGTGAATTCAAAATTTGATTTTGAGATTAAATAAAATATAGTTAGATATCTAATAAAATAAAGCAATTAATCAAAATAATAAACATTCCATGTTTAAAAATAAAGAGCATAGTAAAATGAGATATTATCGAATGAAGGTGGTTAATCATACCAAAAAAAAAAAAAAAAAAAAACTAAATAATATATAAGTGGTTAATAAAAATGACAAAAAGCAATGTCTTTAATTTCCAATAATGCAAATCACTTTAATAGTTAAATGTACTGTTATTAACTGATGGAAAAACCTAATAGCGGGTAAGGTTCATTATTTAATATACTCTTCGTGATTTTCTAAAATGAAGGTAAGAGTGTATAGTGGTTCAGAAGTTGAAAAAGAACTAGAACTTGCAAAAAGAGATTACTTACAGGCTGCTGTTGGGATTTCAACATCAAAGAAACTGTTATCAATACCAAAACTGTTGGATTGGTATATGCTTGATTTTGCTAAAGACATGGAGTCGTTTCTTGATTGGGTATGCCTTCAATTACCAAGTGATATTAGTCAGGTAGCAATCAAGTGCGTAGAAAGAACATTTAGTGAACCCATTTCAAATTATGTTAAAGTTAGCGCTTATGAGTTTCGATTTAGGTACCTTTTGTACAAATAAACCTTTTGTTAGAGTTTTTTTGACTTACATATTTGTATAGACAATTTAATAGAAAGCTGAAGGATATAAAATGTGACATTACTGATTTCATAAACGTACATGGTTATCCATAAAAGCTTCCAATTATTAAAAGGTGACATTAATGATTTTATTTTATTTTTTCTTGTTTTAATAAACACTAATCCTTCTCCATTAAAAATCCAAAATCGAACTAAAAATCATCATTCAACAAGCACCATCGTTACCAATTTGGATATTACTGTCCCTTGTGCAAAACCTCTACTCTCACGTTAATCATAATAGCGTGATTAATTAGCTTGGCACAAATCAAATAGAATGTAAATGATCACATTAATTTATACCATTATTGGAGGAGACTACAAGCAAGAAGGAAAGATGTACCGAACCACATCATGATGGATGGAATCAAGTATACTATTTACATACAAAAGTATTTGGTTATTGGGGGGAAATTAAGATACTTCTAATGTCGAATAAGGAACAACCAAGACAAAAATAAATTATTGGGTCGAAATCGTCTTTTGTATCAAGGTAATCGTGATGAATAGACATCAACATACTAAAAGAATGGTGTTAACATATCTTTGTATGTATTATGTAGCCCATATTGTTAGTTAGACTTATTTGTATTTAACCCATATACTCATACTAAGCCTATATTGTATGTTATGTATAAATATTGGAATTCATGGGTCATGGGAAAAGGCTAACAACATACTCAAACAATCATTATATGGGACTCTTATTTAATCGATCCTTCAATCCATTCTTGTACTCAATGTTACTGCTACCGATGTCTAGAAAGCTATTGACATCTTTTTCATTAGAATAAAGAAAGCAAAGTCATGGAACTAGATGATGAACTTTGCTCTTTAGCCATTAGAGACTCAACTATCATGGAATATTGCACTTAGATTAAATCCATATCCGACCTACTTGCAAATATTCGTTCCCTCGGTTAACGAACGGAATCTTGTAATCTATGCCTTAAATGGCTTGTCTTCAAAGTTTGCTCACATTGTTACAACCATCAATAAATAAAGAGCATAATCGCATAGTGTAATTTCCACATCTTGATACATCCTCCTCTCAGATGATTATTGATGTATTATATATATATATATATATATATATATATATATATATATATATATATATATATATATATATATATATATATGGGAAAATGGAATATACATTACAGCCCCACCTAAGCTTAGGTATTAAACCTCTTGAAAATATATTGTTTTACTATATAAAGATTAAGGTTAATGGATTCATGGTTAATACTTCAAGATGTAAATTCAAGATTAACACAATAGGGTTTAGGGTTTAGGGTTTAGGGTTTAGGGTTTAGGTTTAGGATTTAGGGTTTAGGATTTAAGTTTAGGGTTTAAGGTCTAGGGTTAGGGTTTAAGGTTTAGGGTTTAGGGTTTAGATTTAGGGTTTAGGGTTTAGATTTAGGGTTTAGGGTTTAAATTTAGGGTTTAGGGTGAAGTAATAAACACTAATTGAGGAAAGAAAACAGAGATGGTAAAACAATAATGAAAGAAAGAAATGTTATGGAAGATGATATATTTACTAAGTGAAACCAAACCGGGCATAATTAGCATGTTAAAACGACATATTTTAGAGGTTTAGTACCTAAGCTTAGGTGAAGCTGTAATGTATATTCCCTATCCCCTATACATATATATATATATATATATATATATATATATATATATATATATATATATATATATATATTACTCAAGTTTTAAAATTACAAAACTGATTTTATCGCAACCGGACTAATACACACACTAGGCAGTGAACCTAATCGTGTAATAGTATAGTTGTGGTAAGACCAGGTGTCGAATACTTAGGGAAATGTAGTGAATTAATTTGGAATTTCTGATTATAGGTTACACTAAATAACAGAAAGCAATAAAAGTGGGGGGTTTATGATTCTAAAATTCTCAATTCAATAAATGATTAATCTTGATAAACTGACAGAAAATGATTCTCTTTAGGTACTTTGGTTAGACAAAATTACTTCATAAAATCATTTATAATTACTAATACAAGAGTTATTTATTCTTTATTCACTGATTCCTAATATGACTACTCCCTAGACTGTACAACTAATTATTTGATCTTTAAGACTTTTAGTTACAGTGATCAAGTGCACTAATTATCCTAAAAAATAAGTGTTTAATTCGTATTATGAGAGACTTGAATTATTAGCATAAAAAATCATAAAGCTAATTACGCATGAATGGTCATCAAATGTATACTTAAACAATAAAATCACAACTTACTACATAACTCTAGGTTTTGATCAAACACTAGTCATAGAAATTTATAACACCTAAAATCATATGATTCAAGCATATTAAACTAGATTGTTCATCTAAACCTAACAATGCTCAACAATAATTAGAAAAGTGTAACGCCTGGTTCCTGGTATGTATTTAACTTATAATTATTCATTTTTATATAGCAACTCAACGAGTTGGAGGCCCTAAACTCATCGAGTAGAGATGTTTTGGGTCATGCGTTTTGGTGACCAACTCAACGAGTTGAGATGTCTCAACTCGACGAGTTGGCTGGGTAAAATGAAACCTTAATTCTAGGGTTTTGCACCCTATTTAAACACCTTAACCACAAGGTGTTGGCCATATTTTCCAGCCTCTACTGTCCTAACCCTAAATCTCGAAACCCTAAGCTACTTTGAGTGTTTGTGAGCCATTTTGGGTGTTTTTGGTGTGTCTTGAAGCCATTGGAAGAAAGAAAAGCTTGAAGACACAAAAAAGAGCTTATAGATCCAGAATCCCTGCCTCATCCACAACACTTTTCTGGTATAAAGCTTGAACCTTGCCTTGTAGTTTTTTAGATCTTTTTTAGGGTTATTTTGTTTGGTTTTGTCCAATATCTTGGTCCTTGGGAGTTGGACGTCCCAAATGGGTTAACACTTCAGATCTACGGTCTTGAGGGGGTTTCATGGCATAAAAGTGCCAACTTTATGGCCATGGGAGTCCCATGCAACCTTTATACCATCATTTTGGCCTTTTGGAGCTTCTAAAGGCCATGCATGTAGAGAAAGTTGGAACTTTACGTGATCTTTTTGTCCCTAGAGTCCAAATATATAACCTCATGGCCTATCTTGTGGGTTTTAGTGGTTTTTGATTTAAGACTTTGTCCTTTTTGGGTTAGGGTTTGAGCTTAATATCTTTGGGAAAAGGTATTAATGGGTAAAGTTGGAAACTTTACCCTTCTAGAGGCATTTCCAGTCTAGATCTGGAGTATAGGGTGTAGATCAGAAAAATAATTGCTTAATGCATTAATAAGGGTTAGCAGACCGAAGAACTCAAAGATTTCGCGAAGGAACTTGATGAGTTGTATTGAGAAGTCATGATTCTATTGAAAAGGAATAACTCAGCGAGTTAGAGGGAAAATCGACGAGTTGGATCGCGATATCATGATTCTGTGAGTCATGGAAACTCAGCAAGTTGAAGAGCAACTCGACGAGTTGAGTCAACTTGAAGTGTTGACTATGGCTTGAATTTGACTTTAACTTGACCAAAGTTGGCTTTAAGGGGTTATGAGTATGAAGGGGTACTTAAGGAAATACTTTATGTTTAGGGGATTGAGTTGGGTTGATATTCGGAGTCGGTGACTGTTATGATATTCGAGGTGAGTTTACTTCCCTGTATAAGTGGGTGGAAGGCACCAATGCCGACCCACTATTAGATGTTTATAGTAGAGATGATTGTCTTTGTGATAATTTTATGGTATGCCACTATTTTGTTGATATTTCTGTGCTTGTATGCTATGTTATTATGTGGTAGTGGTAGGGATAAAATAGACCCCGTAACTGGTTAACATACACCGCAGGGAAGGTCGGGCACCCAACTATGCCTGACAGGGTAGGTCGGGCACCTAGATAAGCCTGACAGGGTAGGTCGAGCACCCAGATATGCTTAACAAGGTAAGTCGAGCACTCAGATATGCCTGACAGGGTCGACCGGGCACCCCAGATATGTCTAGCACTTTGTGATTATGTGGTATGATGGGGGAACTCACTAAGATTCATGCTTATGGTTTTCAGTTTTTGTTTCAGGTACTTCTTCTTCAAAAGGAAAGGATTCGGCATGATCGCAGCGTATCACACTATGATTTTTCCATATTATGAGGTTCTTGGGGATTGTACTCTGATATTATTTTCCTATGATATATTGTGGTTTTTGACACTTGGGTTTGATTATGATTTGGATGACACTATTGATGTTTTCAGACTACCATCATTATAAATTACTTAATTAAAAATGAAATTTTTGGTTATGAATTTTAGGATGTATCACGTTGGCATCAAAGCCTTGGTTTGATGGATTCGGACACACTTTTGGGGGTGTCTGGACTCAAATCGAGGGTATGAGAAGTTTTTGCATGAAAAATAATTTTTCAAAAAATAAAATTAAGGATTTCTACTAAAGAACAAGGAGTGTGATGCGTGCAATCGTCTGAGCTCAAGAAAGTTTTCCCTAAGATACCCATACATGTTATATTATGATATAAAGTGTGAATATGTGAACTGCATTCTAGATTATGGCTAAGGATCTAGGAAGGATGCCTTGTATGCCTACTGTATGTTCTTATTGAACTGCATGCTAATACTGATTAGTTAGTGATATGAAGGTCTGATTAGTATATGCCTGGTTTTGGTTACTCAATGCTCGACTGCAGCTTACTTTGTGCTTTTAGGAGTCCTGGTTATCTTTAATTAAGTAGTAAACGAATACGTTAAGTTACATATTACGAGGAATAAATAATTTTAGAGTATTAGGTCTAGCCCTATTTCGCATCACTTGTCTGAGTCCAACGGTTGTAGGGAAGGACCTCTCACTTGAAGAATTATTTGGTCCTAGTAATATGTAATGTTATTCGTGAGCTAGTTAGGGAAACATAGCAGGGACTACTTATGCAGCTGATGGTGG